AAAGGCCGAGAAAGGTATGCCTTTACCATCAACTTATGCTCTATTTTATATCGACTCCATCCTCGGTCGTATTCTTGATTATTTGATGTGGGACTAAAATTAAAATTGTGTTAAGAACTACATTGTGATGTACTAAACTGCCTGAAATATCTTTGGATGCAATTAACAGGAAGGTTTCATGAAAAGTGCATGAAACTTGCCCAGCTAAAAGCAAGTGATTTGTATCTGGCTTTTTGGGCCCACGTACAACTTCGATCTGTCTCCTCCCAAACACAATTATCACAGGTAACTTTGCCCTATTATTGCTTATTTGCATAGTAATGCTTACTCCTCCAGACCATACACAATTTCACATATAAATCTTATATCAATGGTTCAACACTTACAGTACACAAGCTGGGTACAACACAGACAGGTGAAAAACTTGGACTTTAACATTGGCAGATGGTTCAACTAGAGACACTGGCAAGCTCAGTAACGCACAGCTTAACTTGGATTGTCTATTTTTGACTGCTGAGGTGGGAGCATCTTGCTAACATGGGGACTTCATATGTTTTCCGCAATGTGGGAGTAAAGTAAGGGACAACCTGATAAGTGACAGACAAACCCTGAAATTAATCTGACAAACAGAAAACTTGTAGTATAAGAATTGGTAGGGGCCGCGCGAACGCGTACCCCCATAGCAACAAATTATGACGTAGACTATCCCACTTGGAGATATCTTAAGTGGGCACCCCTCCTAAGTGCAATGGAGGTCACCAACCTAGGCCATGGACCTTCTTGATCGCCCATTGACCCCGTCCAGGTAAGTATGTTCAAATGATCTCCTGCATTCTTTTTTAAACCCGTGTCTTGTCATTCATCTTTTCTCCTTTCCTGATGTGGGACTAAATCAACTTTCAAAATAAAACATACGAATCTACAAGAAAAGGAACGTGTGAACTAGTATAGAAAAACTCGAGTGAATTAGTTATTAAACATTTGAACTCAACTAGAGATTGACTTTGTTCCATCCTAGCCGTTCAAAATCAGATTTTAATTTTGAAAACTACAAAAAGCTGCCCATGGCATATATTTTGGGGGTCAGGATGGAAAGTTATAATTCACACGCAAAAAAAAAAAAAGATTCGTGTGCAACAAAGCCACACTCTACCCAACTACAAGCCTTTAGATGCAGGTTTATGCATCTTGCTTTCATATGCTACAAAATTGAAGGTGTTTAATTTTCCAGCTTCTAAAAAGAAAAATCTATGGACTCTCCTCAAATAAAACGAACTTTGGGTATCTCATGTGGATTCAATGCATGTTGAAGTAGTGCACTAAACAATCGTCGAACACAATGTACATCATTAGCACTTGGCAGATCCACTCATCTTAGCAAGTTGTAAGGTAATTTTGTTTTGAACATTAAATCCATCAACTGGTCTGCTTTACTGATGAAACTATGAAAGTACTATTATATAAGCCAAGGCTATTTTGCCAGCAACTTTTATCCGCTAGACTGCTTTGAATTGAACCCTGTAAAAGTATGTTAAAGGTGTTTGATCGATGTTTCACTCAAAAAGGACAATGTAATTTCCATTCTTAATCAAACTCCTTGTGTCATGCCAATTGCAATAGCCAATAGTCAATCAAGTTGATACACCACACAATCATCTATATGTTCAGGGACACTGGTAGATTCACTGATCAAGGTTTACTTGAGTGCATAAATATCCAAAGCTGAGGCTGATTTGGCTCATGAGTGCGTAAGAATATTGTTCCTAAAGGAAGGAACTTTCCAATAATTTACATTCATCCAATACCTTGAAAAGGTTCCTACTGACAACGAACTTTAAGTAGCAGAACTGCTTGTATTTCTTATCAGCATGTGTATAGCAGCAGCAGTTGGGAAAAAACCAAAGACTGCATGAGAGTACAAGAACTTACAGACATCAGACTCAAACTAGATTATTGCAGACCCACCAGGCTTCGTCTTCTCCCTTACAGTTGCTCTATTGGCTGCCTACCCTCTGCTTGTATATCCCTTTGCCTTCTTCTCTCTTTGTTGCTGCTGTTGAAAGACCCTGCCGAGCTTCACTGCTCTGTTTAAACCCATTAGTAGAGCGAACTGTCTTAATTTCCAACAAGCATAGCTTTCCCCTTTGTTGGACACCCACACACGGCTTCAAGAGCATTTTTCATGAGTAAAGAAGGTTGTAAATATCAATAATCAGCAGGCATAGTTTTTCCCTTCTTTGCCTTTGTATACTCAGCAAATTTCGTAGGACGTAAGTAATGAAAAATCAAAATAACGATAGGGAATTTATATTGGAGGCCACAGTATAGAGGGCATCCTTCCAATAATTAGCCCCGCCCTTGTTAGTGCAATGTGTGCAAAAGAATAAAAATAATGAAACAAAAAATCTACCAAAATCCTCAACAGCTGCAATTGGGCAGAAAATATCTACATAACCACAATATCTTCTCTCTACTCCGATACACAACACATGGATATTTGTACATTGGTACATTTAATTAAATGTACTGGCCAGTCGCACGAAGTCTTAAAGCAGAGCATACAAGCAATCACCATCAGGTTGTTAAGACAATTACACTCCCATGGTTCCCAAGCTTTGCTCTAACATGGCTGAAAAAACAAATTTAAAAACCAGTAAGCAATAGTCTGAAAGCTGGCAGTAGAATAATATATGCAGTTAAAACATTCGGATGCATACTTTATATCTATTGATTCGCAAACGTTAATTGGCGTACTGTACAAAAATACCATTGTGTAAATATCTTTACTGGGACCAGCCACCCAAGAGGAAAAAGAAACGGCGGCACAAAATCATCCCAATATTAAGTGAAAATGATGGGAATCAGTATTAAATAAAAAAAATATATAAATCAACAAAACTTATCCCAAGACCTGAAAAGACAATAATGACGACTATCCCTATATGGGCTTATGCTATATATACTTTGTTAACAATTTGATAAATTGGTGTTTCATAGCAGTAGAATCCATTGTGCAAAAGAAGCCAGTACTTCTATGTCAACTGAGCATGCAGCATGGTAAGCACTCAACATTACAAATAAAAACCTTTCGAGTACCAATGTTATAGTTACGTCAAATATATTACCCAATTAGCCTTGGGACTACTCAAATCTATTAACTTAGCGAGATATCAAGTTATCGATAAATTAATAATCTATTAACTTATCAAAGTATTTACATTTAAAGTTTAATATCCACACAAATTTGAAGAATTTAAATGAAATGTAGCACATACATAGTATTATAGTTCATCTTGAAGATAAATTTGATGATGATAGATATGTGCAATGAATTTATTTCAAGTAAAGACGCATTCAAAAATGGTAACTGGAAGTTATAGTCTTATAGATGAGAAAACAAAACAGAGACTTCTAAAACAAAAAGTTGGAGATGAGATTTAATTGGATTTTAACTCCTAAGAAACTCCCATAGTAAAATAATGTAATTTTTGTAGATTATTGATTTATCAGTTAAATGGGACCTATTAGAAATATACAAGGGAATTTCTAAAATCTATTAAATTACAAGTTTAGCAAAATTATTAATTTAATACATTGGCCCAAGTTGGGATCAACAAAATATATTATTAAAGCGAGATAATTAATTTTTTCGCGTATCAATTTATCGGGGTTGTACTGTACATATAATGGTCTAAACGAATATAAAAGTTCAAAACCAGAATCACACACATAAAAGAAAAAAATGGTGATCAGCAAAGTAGAAACGTTGGCTTCCTGACGAGGATTCAAGAAAAAAATGTCGTCAATAGTCCGTAACTATTCACTTCAGTTATTGTTCGATGTATAAGTAATATATGAAAAATGAGATTAGCATAAAATATTACCTTCTGTAGAACTCAGCTGCAGATCGTGATCCATTGGAGAAGGCAAACCATAACAAGACAATAATCAAAATATCTAACAGAGTTAAAGAGCTCAAGAACAATAATACCTAGAAGTTTGCGAAGTTCAAAACATTGTGTAACCTTTCTAGTAGTAAACCTTTTACATTCTCCAGTTCAACAACTTTTGAGCAATCTGCCGATCTCTATCAACTAAATTTGGTTCATAAAGTGTAAATTACATGTAACATTCAAATTAGATCATAATCAAAATATGAACCCCAAACAGTGTGGCATTCTAGCCAAAATATGCAGATCTGTAAGGAATTGTGTAATAAGTGGTCACTAAGTTTGACAGGAAAAAAAAATGACTAAACAATCAGAATCTCGAAAAATATAAAAGGATACTAAAGAGATAGCGCTCCCACCACTCCAACATGTAAAGCCCAAAAGTGACATTGTAAAGGAAGATCTTCCGCTGAATCCAATTCATTACTTAAAATAAATAAATAATACCACGGAAGATTGAGGGCTGTATTATAGATCTGTCAAAGAAAAAACAAATAATCAAACATTGAACAAACAATTACTCGTTGTGGGTATTAGCTAATCAGCTAATTATGTATGAAGATACCAATTAAAAGGAAAACGACTAGTAATAAAACATTGCCCCTAGGTCTGGAACAAGCAATATTCAGGTACAACTCTCCTTGATATAAAAGTCAGAATTTCAGAAAGAAAGCAAAGAGATCTACTTTAATCACTGGGATACATCCAACAATAAATATTTCAAGGAGCAGATACCAATAACGAGAGTTCTCTAAGTTTTCATAAACAAACCATGCTTAGTTGCTATCAAAATCAAAACCAACTTGACTATTGCTCTATGCCTAAGCTGTAAATCCTATAACCCGCTAGC